CTTGTGAAACTTGAAAACATGGCCGGGTCCCGTTGAGTGATCTGCAATTAGAGAGCTAGTGTCTTCCCTCACCGCTGTTGGGTGCTCGGTTGTTCGCATGCCGAGTAATCCCCCGGTCCTCAAACGTAGTTGCTTTGTCAAAAATTGTCCCATATCCGCTCAACGACTCCAGACATTTTAAACATGACAAGATCGGCATGCAGAGGTTTTTGGCCTAGGGCCGGACCTTTATTTCTCGTTCATTTTTGATGACTGCTCAGTTTGTGCTGTTTCCTAAATTACATTATCGCAGGACAAGGCTTCATTGAAACCTAAAACTGATGTGATGGTGGCTTGGTTGGGCGGATATGTACTTCCTTTTATCCAGGATCTGGAAGAAGCTGTCTCCCGACTCCACTATCCAACGAAGTTGATCGGCAGGTGCAGGAGTTAGTTGAAAGACTTCCTTGTATTTGAAAATGTTGTAAAATAGGGCATTGCTACTCTTCTGCAAAGTAGGCGCAACGCCAGTTGCAGAACCCTGAGGCAGACGAACGTCTTGGGGAGGAGCACTGCGTAGCTAACTTCTCTGCGCGGGGTTGCTTAACGACTTGGAAATGAAGCCAATTTTGGAAGAATCCACTAGGATAGAAAGGAAGGACGGCTTGTATGACCGCCAAAACACGAAAATAGGGGCGCCCCGTCCACTGTACGTATGGCTTTGTACCAAATTCCGGGAAAATGAACTTTACGACTAAGGTGAGGGTTAAGTTTACAGTTAAGATTAGGGTCAGGATTATTTCAAAAATTAAGGGTTGAATCCTCGTTGACTGTGAGACTTAGGATTGGACTAGCGTTAAGAGCAAGGTTACAGTTTAGTCTTCCTTTGGGGTTAAGACACGGGAATAGTTCCCCTTCCTATACTTTGTCACGAGGCTAACTATTTTGAGTGGGCGGTGCGTTTCTATTTTCGTGAATAGTTTTAGTGGCCATACAGGTTATCCTTACCGGATAAGGACGATATGACCCAGGCGGCAGAGTCCTAGTTTTAACAGGAAATAATCTAGGACGCTTAGCTGAAACGCTCACCGGCATATCGGGTGAAACAACATTTTTGGAATAGGGAGAAAGAGAAGGGGTTGGAGGCATAGGCACGCGCAACTAAAATGCCCCACATGAATTATTAGACGCTCACAAGACAGCGAAACAACCTCTGGTGATGGGACCGATAATAAGCGAACGAGGGCATCTTCACAAGTGAAGGGTGATAATTTATGGATGCCAAACAGTAAAAAGCCGCTAATTGTTTTGGGTAAATGAGACCAAAAAAGCCACCAGAGGGTCATGAGAGAAAGGGCTTTTGTTTCCAGACCATTTTCTTTTGAAGGAAAGGGCGACTCTCACGTACCTCTGAGCTTTCTACTATTTTTGACGAAAATAAACTGTGAGTGTAAATGAGCACTTAATGATAAATCCCAGAGTCAGAACACTTAAGACTCTTTGACGGAAGAGGTCAGGGTCACCAGGCTTGTTAAAAAACAAATGAAGTTATTTTTTTTCATAGGTAGATTACTTTTAAACATAATTGTGGTATTGCAGGTAGTGAGTATTAACGTTTAGAGATGAAAAGAGAGGATGGGCTGGTTACAGTACAATTTAGGTTCCCAAACAGTACACAAAACGCCATCCTTCTGTAATGCAGGGCAGGCAGTAATAAAGGTTAAATAGGCGGAGCATATCAAGAGAAAGAAAAAAATTAAAATTATTACAATGTAGGGCGTATAAAAGAAGAAAATAATAGGAATAATTATTTAAATAACCAAATAACCGAATATTTGCGCGCGATGATTAAAATGGCCCAATGGTGCCCAATTGGACACAATCGTCGACTCGATATCATCTCTATAGATTTGCTGTAGAGCTGATATACCTGTGACAAATATTATATAGAGATGCTATGGAGTTGCTATACAGTCGAAGATTGTACTCTATTGGGCAATTTTGATTATAGCGCGCCGGTATTCGTTTATTTAAATAAGCTGTTTGGGAACTTGAATTAAACTGTTACCGGTGGGGTCAACATGTCGGCGCATTTTTCTCACTATGTGCAATCTGACGCACATTAATATTTCACGAGGTGCCGAAGGCCGTAGCATGGAGGGTTGCCAACTAAAAATTAAATGCAAAGCTAACAGTCGGCCCAGTATGTATTTGCTTGAAGTGGCCAACTGCTGGGCCACCGAGTGTCGAGCCCAAAATGCTTCTTAATGTGGCCTTTATGGCAGCCCCAATCAGTGGGATTCGAGCCACTTCTCCCCCTCTCCTTGTTCTTTAACATTTTTTGTACGCGGACCACGTCCTGTGTGGCGCTGTGTAAGCTGTGACCAGGTGGTGTATGATGGGGTGTGTGGCATGGTCCCTAAACGCGCGTGTGTATGTGTGTCCCAAACAGGCCGTGTGATGGATGCATTGTACCACCACGGGGGCCAAATCAGCATACGGCAGGCCGTATTCGGGTTGCGTGCTGATAGCAAATGTCGAACATGGGGCAAGCATAAAGACGGTTTTGGCCGCGCTGGCCACTTCTGCCCTCTCCCATTTCCGTCATTTTTTGACTTTGTTTTGAAGTCGGGTACAGGTAGGGGAATAGGGGAGATTAAGGTAGATGCAGCTCAAGTACCTACTCACTATAATCCAGCACAAGTCGCCTTCTCAGCACCACCCTGGAGCACATGGTGGACAT